AACCATATTCAAGAGCCAACAATCAGAAATCTCCATTGAAGTATGATCCACATAAACAACAAAATATTCATTTTGGGTTTTGACACTAATGGGCAAAATCATCAATAATCTGATTTGTCTTTGTAAAATTTTTCTAATTACAAGACCAGAGAGAGGATGCACTAGAACGGAAAGCCTTCATGGGTGATGCACCAAATGATTGCCCGAAAAAAGTTCAACCGCTGTGGAGGAATCTGAAGATTCTGAACAAACAATGATGTGGTAAAAGCAACAAGGTTTCGCCTCGTCAATGTCATAGACCAAAGATATCCTTTAGACAGTTGATTGACTAATGCTAAGAACCAACATGGAACCACTCACTGAGAAATGTTGAAAAGAAAGTGTTCACTTGATCAGGATGAAGAAGGCAACCGAGCTATTTTATAAACATTAATAATTTGTCTAGTTTAAGAAGATTTTGTCAACAAGAGATATAGACAATGTTGATATTGTGTGAATTATGCGGTTACCACTTGTAAGTGTAAATTTACTCTACAATGTCTTCATTTGCAAGTGAATTATTAGTCCTCACCATTCTTTGAACTGTGTCGTTGTGCCAGATTAGAGTCATTAATGTATAGACTAGAGAGAATGGTGAGTTGTTTCTGCTATTTGTCTTGCCCTTTGTCCCTCACCTTCGTAGTTTATTCTGTAGAAACCTGACGTGAAGGGTCTCAGTGAGTTCTTGAAGCCTTTGAATGACGTAATTATGAAGGCATCATCAATGACAGAAGGACGGAGATCTGATTTCTTCAACCACTTGAAGGCTGCTGCTGATAGTTTAGCAGCACTTGCATGGATTGCTTACACAGGAAAAGATTGTGGTAGGATGAGTGTTCATCTCTTTCCATAGCATTTTTGTGTACTGTTCAGTTATTTAACCTACTGTTTTGTTAATAGGTATGAGCATGCCCATAGCCCATGTTGAAGAAAGCTGGCAGATGGCTGAGTTTTACAATAACAAGGTATCCTGAGCTTTCTCTTCCTATCATGGATCATCCGCATAATATTCTCATACTAGGTGAAGGAAGGTGTAAATTGTGACTTACTCCCTCCATCCCAAATTAATTGGCACATTTTGACTTCCTGCAATCCTGCCTTTCCTGGAGTTTAAGAAAAGTGTTGAAAAGCAAAAAATGTGGTTAAAATTTGTTTAGAAAAAAGAAAAAAATGTGGACCACAAAATTTTTAGTTTATTAGGAAAGTAAAGAAGTGTGACAATGCTTTTGGGATAGACTAAAAAGGAAAGTGAGATGATTAATCTCGCACAGAGAGAGTATATAATTAGGAAAGTTGCAATTATACTGCTGGTACTATACCATGTTGGAATCCAAGGTGCTCCCGTGATGCTTTTTCATGTTTGCCATCTGTCCCAACATTTTTCTCATCACTAAATATTGAAACTACTTCATAGTGCTCCCGTGATGCTTTTTCATGTTTGCCATTTCTCACAACATTTTTCTCATCACTGAATATTGAAACTAGTTCAATTATTAATTTTGGGACCTCTTTATCGTGTTACATATGATAGATTCTTGTGGAGTACAGAAACAAAGATCCAAATCATGTTGAGTGGGCAAAAGCTTTGAAAGAGCTGTATTTACCTGGATTGAGAGAATATGTTAAAACTCACTATCCTCTGGGTCCTGTTTGGAATGCAACTGGGAGAACTTATGTATCTCCTCCGGCAAAAGTGCCCGGTATAACTCCGGCACCTCCAGCTCCTCCCTCAGCTTCACTTTTTAACACTGAATCCCCTAAGCCTTCATCGTCCCATCCAAAGAAAGGAATGGCTGCCGTTTTTGAAGAAATAAGTTCAGGGAAGCAAGTAACTTCTGGTAATTTTCCTTCTTGCTTTCGTCTTTAGAATTCATTTTATCATTTATTCTTAAAGAGATTCTGTTTCTAGGGTTGAGAAAGGTAACTGATGATATGAAAACAAAGAACCGGGCAGATAGAACTGGCATTGTTGGAGCTGGTGAAAAGGATAACCGTGTTAAGTCACCCTCATTCTCTAAAGCAGGACCTCCAAAATTAGAGCTCCAAATGGGCCGCAAGTACGTAGCAAATAATTTTTGTGTTTCCTTTTTCCTATTTGGTCCGTTGAATAACAAGGCTATGTTGTTGACAGATGGGTGGTGGAGAATCAAATTGGGAAGAAAAATTTAGTCATTGATGACTGTGATTCAAAGCAGTCTGTATACATCTTTGGCTGTAAAGATTCTGTTCTTCAGATCCAGGGTAACTCCTGCTTTCACTGGATATAACTTTCTTCCTGTCGTAACTTTTTATCATGATAAAGTGATAAACTAAGCGGTAGTATGTTTTGTTTATGCGGTTTAAGTTGAGGAAATCCAACTTGTTTCCTTGATTATACTTTGCAGGAAAAGTTAATAACATAACCATTGATAAATGCACTAAGATGGGAGTTGTATTCTCGGTAAGTGGGGTTTTATTTTTAGCTTAGATTCTCTCTGGATGGGTAAAATGAACAACTTGCTAACATTGTGACATAAAAACTTGGGGCACAGGATGTTGTGGCAGCTTTTGAAATTGTCAATTGCAGTGGTGTAGAGGTGCAATGCCAGGTAATTTGTTTTTTAATTTTATTTATGATATGGAAACTTGGAAGGAGCTTTTCAAATCCATTCATCTTGATTGCCTTTTCTTATAGGGTGTGGCACCGACAATCTCCGTGGATAATACATCTGGGTGCCAGTTATACCTTAGCAAGGACTCTTTGGAGGCTTCTGTCACCACATCCAAGTCCAGTGAGATCAATATTTTGGTGCCTAGTACTGGACCTGATGCTGATTGGGTATGTGTATCCTTTGCTAGATCACACACTTGAGTACTTGACATAGCTGCTTCTCTTTATTAATAATCCCTCCGTCTCAAAAAAAGACTCCTTATCTCCTTTGCATCACTTTCAACCACAGATTTTCAATTTCTTTGAACTTTGTGCCAAGTCAAACCCAGAGCCTTTTTTTTGGGGATGGAGGGAGTATATCCTAAAAACTCCCCTCGAGTATTTGACATATTTTCCCTTAAGAAGACGGCTCGATCTCTTGTGAGGCCATCTCACAGTGAGACAACAATATTTATAATAAAAAACACACCTTGGAACATAAAGTTAATACTTTTGTATTCTAGAACAAATAAAAAAGGTTTTTCTATTATTTTATGTTTGGTAGTATTTCATATTAACTAAAAAACTAGTAGTCTCATGCAAGTTTTTTTAAAGACTATCTTGCTAATGCGTAGGCAACATCATATACAAATATGATCTTTAATCAATTTGATTTTTTTTTTGGTGTGTGTAGGATGAACATGCTTTGCCTTACCAATATGTGCACGTTTACAAGGATGGCCAAATCATAACATCTCCGGCCACCCACTCTGGAGGTTAAAATGAAATGTTAAATGGCGAGTCCTCTCTTTCGGTATCTTACACTTTCCATTTTCTTTGAACCTACGTTTTCTTTGTTGGGTGTCCAATCTTTTTTCTTGTTGGGCAGTTTGATTTTATCACGATAAAGAAAGAGTTCATTGTGAAAGTTATATCTGTACACTTTGTTTTCATTTGTATTAAAACTGAATTCGCCGACTATTACTTTCAGTGAATATTATCACCCAATCTTACATCAAGCCCCTACACAATTCTGCCTTCTTGAGCAGCACAACACTTCTGGTCAATTTTTTTTTGTTTGTTTATTTTTCGTTTGCTCATTTTGTTAAAGTATCATACTCAAGTCATATCTTATTTGTCACCAATGTTTGTAGATAGCTTTTATTTTGAAATTTTGTTAGTATTCTTTACATAAAATAAAGTTAAAATAAGTTCAGTCAAAATTTATTATTGAGATAATTAATTCGGATGGATGGAGTATATTTTCTAATAATAATTCGCTGAAGAGTGAAGACGTAGCAAATACGGAGTTGTTCAATTCGGAGTATGATGCCATAGGTACTCTGCAACTTTCATCTCTTAAACATAAAAATGTGATGGATTTTAATATGTAATTTTTATTTTTTAATTTTACACCATTTGTTATATAAAATAATTTAAAAATAGTTTCAGTCAAACATTATAAAATGAAATAGATAGTATAAATTGGGACAGAGGGAGTAGAAAAAAGAAAAACTATAAAGAAAAGATGGGCATTTGTGCCAATTTTCAAAACCATAGGTGGCAACAGGGCTATTCACAGAATACTTGAATGATATTTTAGTTTAGAGGGGCATTAATGTAGCAATATCAGAACCTGAGGGGTAACGACATAAGTTTTGAAACTCTAGGAAGTAACAATGTACATTTCTCAAACCACAAGGGGGCCTGGTGCAATAAATTTCTTTTCGAAATGGATTGACTATATGATTATACTATATGGAACTTGACGTATATTACCAGTGGCGGAATTCAAAAATACAAATGACAACCAAATAAAACCAGTAACCCCCACAGCAATAATCCAACCTATATACTCACTCCGTCCCACTCTCTTTGTCCACTTGTCTTTTGGCACATATACCAAGAAGTGCAACAAGGGAGTGTGACTGTGGGAGTACACTAAAATGCCCTTTTGGGCTAAGACTATGTGTTATGGGGGAGTGAGGAGGAGCTTCACCACCCTCCGTCACACCCCTCTTCCACAACACCTCTTCTGGTTAGCAGGTGTTGCCCCTCTTCCAGTGACCGCCCTCACGGGTGTTGCCTCTCTTCCAGTCATAGTTGTGTTATATAACAGTATATCATAGTTTTCTAAAAAGTTTTGTGAATCATAATGCCTGCTCTTCGATTTCCAGCCTGCTCCTGCAACTTAGGTATTCAAATCAATATTCGAGTACATTGATCATCTCTTTTCATGGATTCGTCCTAGAAAGCTACTTTATTTGGCAATTGGTAAGTAGTAACTGTTCAACCCATCCAATTCTCTTACCTTAAAAGCAAAATAGATATACTAGTACTATTCTATTTACTCTCAAACATCAAAATACCGGGTAGGGGCAAAACAAAGCCACATAATTAGATACATGACAATATGACGTACGCAAAATATCAAGCACTTGGTGAAAGATAACTTGAATAAAGCCAGTTTACATATCAAACTAAAGGTGTAATGGATATAAAATTACCAACACGGCTTAATCCAACAAGAGTTGGGGTACCATCTTGTACCATAGAGATGGGATGATGAATCTTGTTGGCTTCCAGAGAAATGCCATTTGCCCGTCTCCATGGAGAAGTAAACAATATTAGTACCACGGAGCAATGGGAAATAAATTCTGTTTCCACCACTCGAAGAAGGCATGGCAGAGGAAGAAGTTGGGTTGAGATACAAGTCGTAACCTCCCAGATTGCTCACCTTTTCCCATACCTGATGACAATTATTCAGCTTGTAAACATAAACCCATTTTCCCGCACGACCAAGAAATACTGAAATCAACTCCCCACCACACTCCACCAAGAAGTTGTGAGAAAAAAACTTCAGGTCAGCTGGCCTTTGTGGCTTCTCAAGAACTTCCCACCTAATGTTTACTAGTTGCAGATCTATCTCAAGACATCCGAGTCGTCCCATCTTATCCAAGTAATAGAAAGCGTCATTAAAAAAGACCGGACTAGTCTGCATTGCTGCATCAAAATTCTTTCCACTCGCCAGTTCATCCCTAGACCAATCTTCACCAGGTTCAAAATTGATTGATACAAAAACATGGATTCCATCACAGCAATCAATACAAATAGGGTGCATGGAACCTGGTGGCTTTCCAGCAAAAAACAGACAATCTTCTATTCTTGTATGACTGTAATTGTAAGTGATGATGTCTCTCTTGAACGGATTGTAAAGATTAACACCCGACCTGCTTTTAGACAATAAAACCCATCCCTCATTACAATAGCGAATGATATGACTTCCAAAGGAGTCTGGCATTCTCATAAAGTAATAATTGTTACCATTGCAATTTACGCTTGGATCCAAGAATTTGTAAACGCTCTCGTGTCTGTCTGGAAACATGAGCAACGGAGAAGCGAAACAATCATTTTTTTCAACTCCAGACAATGCTGTTCTCTAATTTATTGGAGGACAAACGGATTGGGATATCTTACTAGTGGCCCGAAAATTCATGTAATCAATGGCTATGAGATGCTTGGAAAAATGTTCCAACAAATCATAAGGAAGGTCGCACAATTGTATGCAAACATCTGTTTTTTCACTCAACTCCATTTTTGATATGACAATGCTTCTTCTTCTTTGATTGTTGATGTTGCAATCATGGTTGATGTGTTCACTTTCTTGCCTAAAGGAAATACCATGTGTTAGAATAGATACAAGTTGCAGTTCCAAAATACACTCCCTTCATCCTATAAGTTACTACCTCCGTCCCATTTTATAACATCTGTTTCGGTTTACGATGTTTGACTGAAATTATTTTTAAACCATTTTATATGACAAATGGTATAAAATTAAAAAATAAAAATTACATATTAAAGAACTACATCAAAAATTCTACAAAACTAGTAGTGACAATAATATTTTATTTTATCAAATTGCTAACGAAAATAGAAAAAGAAAGTGAATGAAGTTTGACCCTGTGAATAGTAAACAGGCATTATAATTTGGGACGGAGGGAGTATGTAAAACTTTCAAAATCGGGCGTCTTAAAACTAAAGTCACACTTCCTTTTTTTTAAAATAACCTAACCTATCTTTTCAATCACTTTTACACGCTCTTTCTCTCTTGAAACCTACTCATCCCTACGACCCTGCTCTTTTCAATCAATTAACCTACTCTTTCCTACCCTTTTCAATCACTTTTACACTTATTCTCCTATTTCAACCACATCACGTCAAATTTGACTTTATCTCCGTGTTTTTCATTTGTGACTATGCTTATGAGACAGAGGGAGTATACAACAATCAAATTTTTTTTCACTAATCACACACTCTCACTTCATCATGATCTATACGTAAAGAAACAATATAGTATCTTGTTAGATTCATGATTCATCTCGATATCAACTTCAATAATATTAATATACATCATTTCATTTGTGTATTAGAAAGGAGGATAAGCTTTTAGCTTTACTTATTATGTATTCCGTATAAAGAGCGTTTGTAAACTCTGTGATTTTGAGCATTTAGTTCAAAATAAGCAAAGAAAACTAAAATCAAGAATAATAGGGCACAGAAGTGGTAGTAGTACAAAGCTAAAAGCACCATGAGTTCTTCTTGTTTCGAGGTTCAAGCTTTAAGCATGCATGAAAGCATTTTATATTACCAAAAGTATAAGCCTTTGCAAAGACACCCCACCCCAAAGGAAAAAAGAGTTGAAGTAAGTACTGAGTAATATAAATCTTGAAAGAAAATCTTAGCCAAACATCATTTTCATCTTAAAATATATATATATAGATATATAAAGGAATGAATTAGTGAACTCACTTGATGGAGAGGGTGAGTTGGGGCATCATCCAAATAGGAGGAGAAGGCCAAGGGGTGGGGATAGCCGGACGGGGCGAAGACATCACGACACTGCCATCTTCCATGTTATAACAGTATAAACGATGATCTTTTCTCCTTGTAAAATATATACGGTCCCCTGATCCTGAAGTTGGGCAAGAAAAGCAGTAGTTCTCGCCAATGAAAAAAGTCGCGTCCTTGATGCTTTTCATCCTCTCCCAAGCCATAGTATCAAAATTCATTCGGTAGACCTCAAACACTAGAGCTCCAGATGAAAAATGTATTAAAAAGAGTTCCCCGCAGGATTCCAACATATAGACATTGATGTAAGGAGTGAAGCAACCAGACCTCATGTCAGCAGGCCCGTTCACCGTACGCAGAACGAGCCCAAACTCAGCCGCTCCCTCTTCAACTATCTCGATCGACATCATCGAGTAGCAGAAGCCGTCAAGCCAATCCGCACCGAGCTGGGCATATACTTTGCCACCAAAGCCAACAGCCCTCCTGAAAAACAGGGGACTTCCATTTTCTCTAGCTATTGTATGCAACTCCTCTACAAAAAAAGGTTCCAAATACTTCCCATAGCTTATTTCACTCCACTTTGTTTCTCCAACCCGACACAACATTATGGAGGGCAATTCTTTGAAGAATATTAACAGGGTCAAATTACCTCCCGGAGGTAGTAGTAGGAGGACACAACTGTCGATCTTGTGATTCCATAGGTGATGCAGATCAGGCAGGATTAGGGTATTGTCGCGCAAGACTGGAATGCTCTTGATGTGTGTCTTGACCGGCGAGGGTCCTGTTATGTCGTAACAGAAAGACTGCTTTTTGTAACCTTTGCCGTGGTAATACACCAGCCAAGGGATTTGGCCATCCTTGTAAACGTGGGTGGCCGGAGACGTTATGATTTGGCCATCCTTGTAAACGTGCACATACTGGTAAGGCAAAGCATGTTCATCCTACACACACACACACAAAAATCAAATTGATTAAAGATCATAATCGTATATGATGTTGCCTACGCATTAGCAAGATAGTCTTTAAAAAAACTTGCATGAGACTAGTACTTTTTTAGTTGATATGAAATACTACCAAACATAAAATAATAGAAAAACCTTTTTTATTTGTTCTGGAATACAAAAGTATTAACTTTATGTTCCAAGGTGTGTTTTTTTATTATAAATATTGTTGTCTCACTGTGAGATGGCCTCACAGGAGTTTGACCTGAGGGAAAATATGTCAAATAGTCAAGGGGAGTTATTAGGATATACTCCGTCCATCCCGAAAAAAGGCTCTTGGTTTGACTTGGCACAAAGTTCAAGGAAAGTGAAAATTTGTGGTTGAAAGTGATGCAAAGGAAATAAGGAGTTTTTTTTAGACGGAGGGGGTATTAATAAAGAGAAGCAGTTATGTCAAGTACTCAAGTGTGTGGTC